GCTGAAGTGCCGTTTTGGGTTGGCACTGGAATCAAATTGGGCCAAGAACAACGTCGATAATTCGGCGAAACTGTTGATCGACCCAGGTTGCAGGGGCCCCAACCACTCTTGAGCGGGTCCTCTGAGCGTACTGAAGAACAACCGGCAGATAGCAGCCTCAGGTGCTCCTAGTAGCATGAGTCCTCCTTGATAACTCCTTAAATGCACATGGGGATCTCCTACCCCATCATAAATCTGACCGGCCGGTGGTTTGGCACCTCCCTGGATATCCGCATACATAATTTCCCTGGTGAAAGGGGAAGTAATCCCGAGCTGAATTGGAGCAGGCTGTACGGGCGCCCTATTCATCTGATCTCTCATCTCATTCATCTGCCTCCTCATTTCAGCCATTTCTTCCTCCTGGGCCGTCAAAGGGGGCGGTGTTGGAGTCCTCAAATCTGTATACTCCCGATCCCAGTGCCTTTGAGTGGCCCTAGTATTATTCCGTTCGTCATGTTGCAAATGAAGACCAATAGGAGTAGGTCCCCTGGCTTATGAACCGATCGGGGTCCGGTCACTGGGAACATGATGCGTTGTTGTTGGAGCGCCACGTCGATTATCCCGATGGGCTCGTGAGTGGGATGACGCCGTGGTCGTTTCTGTGTGGGGAGTTTCCCCTGTAAAATTGGATCCTCCTTCTTCCTCGTTTGCCATGTGTTGCATGACCTGGGCCATATCTCGCATGGCGTGAGGATTCCTCCTTAGGGCTTCAGGAATTACAAAGTCCCCATCAAAATGAGGATATGATCCTCGGCTGGATTGTCCCTGAGGGGTTTGATTTCTCGGGGTGTTACTCCTTCCGTGACGGCGCGAACCATCATTTGTGTGATAAGAACTGATTCTGACCATTTTCAAAAATAGTTGTTTTGGAATAATTGAATGTGAAACTTTTTGAACAGTTTCCCACAGACGGTGCCAATGTTGAAGGTAAGTCCCGTAGATCCGAAAGCCCAACACGAACTTTGGATATATTAGGAATGGATCAGAATCAAAGTGTATAACAAAATATAAAAGATGAATCCACTAATACCCAAAAGCCCACTTGTATTAATTAACCTGTCTGATTACAAGGAAACTTCCCGATCGGTAGGTCAGAATAGTGCTTTTAATACAGGAAACAAGAGTAATAATGCTATTCTAGAGCTTGAGTATTGAAATGTTAACCCTTACAATGATATTAAACCTTCTATTTATACTAATGGAGAGCATGGGCTGCTCTATGCTGATTGACCGTTGTTCCACCGACTTGATCACTCATGTTTCCACTTGGTGATGTCACAATCTAGCATTAATTGCACCTGGCCACTTGTTGGTTGCCCGTTGTTCGAACGGGATGCTGGACCTTGCGGATGACGCTGTCAATTTGGCCCAAGTATGATATATGGTCCGAACTCCGTTCGGTATCTCTTCTTTCTGGGTCGGCCTTTACTCGGACCGAACCCCGTTCGGTATGGATTCTTCACTGGATCTACTCACCATAGGGTAATGGACTCGTTATTTGGGCCGGGTATTCTGGGCCTTTTTTAATCCGGGTATTGGGCCTCCGGGTCAATATCCCAACACCCATCAATAGGGAAGTTAGCTAAATAAATTATTGAAAAACACCGCGCTAAAATATATAAAAAACACAATGTTTTTCAATAATTTATTTAATTTACTTTTCGATTGAACTTTAAGATGAAATTTGGTGGGCATAATCTGCACTTCATGAAGAACATGCTCATAAAATTTGACCAAAAAATTTAATCCGTTAACACCTAATTTGGAGGCGGTCAAACGGCGATTCCTATCTGGTAGTACTAACAAGAATTTTTCTGTGTGTGTCTAGAGAGAGAGAGCGGATCAGGTGAGAAGTGTTCTTAGGCCGAGAACTGTAAAGTAATTTAAAAAGTTAAACATTTGGGTTTATATGTTATATTTAACGTATTAATAGTTTATGAGGACATATATGTTTTGGTAAATAATTAAATATCTTTTTGATAAATATTTTCTTTTAATTATTTTTCAACTACTACTAGTGTTTTTCATTGTAATCTCATAGGTCCTCAATTTATCACTATAAAATTATACTTTTGAATTAGAGTTGTTGGATTTATAAGTTATGCTTTCTGTTATATAAGTTACCTTATTGTCTTTATTAGTTAAACTTCGCAGTTATCAGCCTAAGACACACTTCTCACGTGATCTTTTCGCAGCCTGAGAACTGCGAAGTTTAACTAATAGACACAATAAGGTATCTTATACTCCATATAGCAGAAAGCATAACTTATAAATTCAACAACTCTAAATCAAAAGTATAATTTTATAGTGAAAATTTGAGGAACTATGAGATTACAATGAAAAACACTAGTAGTAGTTGAAAAATATTTACAAGAAAATATTAATCAAAAAGATATTTATTTATTTACCAAGACATATATGTCCTAATAAACTATTAATACGTTAAACATAACTTATAAAGCCAAATGTTTAACTTTTACAACTTTTTAAATTACTTCGTAGTTCTCAGCCTAAAAACACTTCTCACCTGATCCGGTCCCTATATATATATATATATATATATATATATATATATATATATAGAGAGAGAGAGAGAGAGAGAGAAATGATCTTGTCCAGCACTGCCCCGTCTGAACACCGTCCGAACACCGCCGTTTGGGGCGGTTCCCGGTTTGATTTTTTGATGAAAATTTTGAACATGTTCCTCATCAATTCTAGTTTATCCACACAAAAATTCAGCTCTAAATTCGATCGGAAAGACAGTAAAATCATTTTTCGAAGTTGACTGCGTTTTTATTACTCGGTTGTAACAATACAAACGTGTTTTTTATTCAAAAAACGATACATGTTTAAAACGTATTTAAAACGCAAAAAAGCTAATTAGGATTGCCAAACAACTGATAAAACTCCAACTTAAAAATTAATTCGACATGCATATAATAAGATTTTTCTATAAAAAGAAAATCTGATAAAACTCCAAATTTATTTTGAGGAATGTAAAATCTCTTCGGAATCTTAGCATTATAGAATATTTTATTTAGAACAATCAATTTCAACTTTCAAAGTAGTTTCTTGTATTTTCTTGTAATTTCAAAGTAGGCTCTTGTAATTTCAAAGTAGTTTCTTGTAATTTCAAAGGAGTATTGGAGAAAGTTGTGCATAACCTCTCCGGATAAAATCTTGGAGTAATCTCTTAAATTAAATGAAACTATGAAAGAGAGCAATTTTGTACACTAAAAGCCATTTCATGTATAAAAAGAGCATTACCATATTCAAATGAGTATCGTATTAAATGAAAATGTGCAGGTGTAATATTTATAAACACACTTAGTATACCATGGGCCCACGGTGAGCATCATGATCCACCCCTAAAACAACGTAGTTTTGCATAATTTTTTTTTAAAATATTCGCGTGAACTGTATACGCGTGAACAGTACACACGTGTACAGTAACTGTTTTGTTTTTCTTTTTGTCCCGTTAGCATGAATGATGTAACTCGCAGGTAAAGAAATGTAACTCACGTTGATAAAAAATGTAACTGTAAGTGTAACGCTGAAAATAAGGAATTTAATTGCTCAATTACTTTACGTAAATAGTGAATATGTTCTGTTTTTTATATCAAGGTATAAAAAAAATTTAAAAAAAAATCACTTTTTGCCTAAGAAATCATTTTTTTCCCAAAAAAAATATTTTTTTTGCATAAAACTGATTCTTTTGTTTGAATGGCAGGCAGGGCTTTATGATGTGATTAGGGGTGGATTCGGGCCGAGCTGGGTCCGGGTCGGGCCTAGGCCCAGGTGGGCCGCCGGTTCTGAATAGGTGGGTCCGGGCCGGGCCGGGCCTCGGGTCATTTTTTTTCCTATTCCTAATTAACCCCCCTCCCACCCCCAAACCATCCCCAAATGGCCCAAAATACCCAGCCCAACCCGAAAAGTTAAAAAAATTGAAAAAAAACATAAAAAGCCCGAAACCGGGCCCGAACCGGCCGGTCCGGTTCGTCTTTTGGGTGACCCGAGCCCGCACCTGGACCTCCCCGGGCCGGGCCTACCCGGACTAGTTACTGGCCGGGCCGGGGTCGCTTCAGGGTCGAGCCATCCGGCCCGAGTCCACCCCTAGATGTGATATGTAACTCATGTTATAGAAAATGTAACTCATGTTGATGGAAAATCTAACTTAAGTGTATGCAAAATGTAACTTGTTAAGCCAAGTCTAAATGTAACTCGCTTATAAGAAGATGTAACTCACGCATAAAACGATATAACTCGCGCATAAGATGTAAATCCATATACTATCAAATGTAAAGAATAAAAACAAGGAGGCTAATTCCTCAAATTAATTTACGTAAATAGTTAATATGTTTTTTTAGTATTAAGGCTATAAAAATGTTTCAAAGAAAAATAAATTTTTTCCCCAACAAAAAATATTTTTGCCAAAAATCATGTTTTTGCCAAAAAAAAAATCTTTTTTGTTTGCAAAAAAAAAATGATTTTTTTTGTTTCAATAGTTGGGGTTTATTTGGTGATGTAATACGTGTTATGAAAAAGTGTAACTCGCATTGATGGAACTATATTATCTTTTAGTAGTCACACGCAGTAGCATTCCAAAACAATCATTGATGGAACTATATTATCTTTTAACAGTCACACGCAGTGTAACTCGCATTGATGGAACTATATTATCTTTTAGTAGTCACTCGCATTCCAAAACACGTATTACATACAACCATTCCATAACACGTATTACATATAACGATTCCTTACCATTTCATCTTTTATGACTGCATTTACATAAAACTATAGCATGAATTACGCAAAACACTTTTGTACAAGATAGACAAAATTCTCTACACTTACGCCGCTCCTTGCCTCCTATCGCATGGGGGTACTTTTGTAAGAACTCCACTTTTTTATATTATCATTTTGGGTTGCCTAATATCAGAAAAATTAAAAGCGGTTGCTACCAATTAAATTCTGAATTGGATCTGTTTTGAAAAACAACAAAAGTGGAACAATTGCAACATTCTTTTTTTTGGCCAGTGATTACCAAGATGTACAAGTTGAACTTAGCTTGTTTATATGCACAAAAATTCAAATATGAATGCAAATTTCACAACAATATAGGGTACAAGAGAGTTCTCATTTCACAACTTGTTCAAAGATGAACAAGTTGAACCCACCTCCTAAAGAAACAAATCAGAAAGAAAGAAAAAGAAAAAAGAGAAGAAAAAAATATAGAAAACCCACTGATATGGTATATCTCCATGAGCAAATGTGATCTTGGTCAGAAAAACCATTTAGGCCTGACTTCAGCTTCAGTCTCTGTTAGCTCCCTATACTCGTACCATTCTACTCCTGCTTTCCCTACCGGCATTGGTGGCCGAACAAATATCTCAACTGGCTTAGGAATATGAACAACCAAAATTAACTCCCCAAACGTCTCTTCTACAATTTGACTATTTGATGATTTGAGCGTAATGCCAACAGGTTCAACAGAAATCCATCCCAGACCAGATATGGCTACATCACACGCAGGTCTACAAAAAACAAAGACAAGAAGGTAGCAGAAGAAGAACTCCTACTCATTATCACTCACAGCATTTAGTAGTCAGTGCTCACCTTTCTATATTGTCATACTTCAATTGGATGTGACGTTTTGTTTCTAGTCCCAGCCAGCCATCTGCCTTCTCTTTTCCTGTAGGGGGTGTTAGTAGATTTCCAAGTTCTCTCTGCAATGAGAAAAGCACCTCATCATGCCAAAGAAGAGTATGAGCAAACCATCATCCACTGTACCAGCAGAGGTAACAAAAACGTAATCGGTGGAACTGTTTACTTTATTGAATATCAGAACATGTAGGGTGGGGGAGATCACAGGCAAGGTGTAATATTAGATCTCAATATTTTAAAAAATAAAATGTAACACCTTTAAAACTGAGAGGGTGTGATCAGACTTAGAACATAACATAACTGAAAGAGTGGTTCACATCAGTTTCAACAGTCAAGGCCAAAAGAGTTCAACATTACATGGTAAAACTCATCGGCTTCCTCGGTGGGCACCATGTGAATTTGCACAGCCTTGGGTCCATAAAAAATTAACCGTGTCTCAGGAAGAGCCTGGGGGATGAAAATGTACAACCAAAGAAAGTCATTAGAAGAAAAAACAGTCTGAAAAAAATGAACAGTTAGCAAGCACAAAAACAGTCTGCAATAAGATTGCATAAAAACGCAAATGGAATAAAATGAAAAACTATTTCGATTTTAAAATTATATTTTACTAATCTGTTGCATTTAAATGTACAAAATGAATATTCATTTCCATTTTAGTGTAGTATAATGTAAGAGGAACAAGTTTAAAACATGGTAAACTTATACTAGTAAAATAATTTATATGACAGGAAGTCTTGCCAAGTATATATGGTTCACGTCGAAGTGATGGGACGCACCTATGACCCCATCTCATAATTACAGACCCCACTATTACGAGATTAATGTATTCTTAATTAGTGAGGGTCATTTGGTACTTTAATAAAGCAATGATGGTCAATCACATTGAATGCTATTCCACTTGAAGCCAATTTCGGAAACAAAACATGCAAGTAAAATCTTTAGACACAAAACCTTCAAAACATCTACTCGCACAAGACCTCCCCAGAACATAGAGAATCCAGTCAAACCGCTTGATCTAACTTGATCAACGATCAGTTTGTCTAAAGCCAACTGAGAGTCCTAGTCACAATTAAAAGCGAATTAAGCAAAAAGGGAAAAGGAAAAACTTGGTACTTTTTTATTCTTTAATATGGTCAGAATAACATATCTTAAAGGAAATACTCCAAGCAGAACATACCGGGAAAATTCGGGCACGAAGCCGACTTCGAGGAGCAAGAGCAGGCAGATCTTCTGAATGAACCACTGCAGCTTGTCTGTGATGGAGATGGACTCCAGGAGTATCGTACATTTTCTAAAGGGAAAAAATACAATTTGGACAGCCAAATTATGCACAACTTGCAGAAAACAGGTACAAGAAAAGTCTATTCCATAGCAACACGGAATTTGTTAGGCAATTGTTGGACTAACTCTGGCCCAAAAAGTGCACCAGAACATCTGATTCTTCGATCACCACACTTTTCCATTTTACGGTTTTATTGAAAACATTTGTTACAAAAGTTGGCCTATTGAAATAATACTTACACCTGCACCTAAGAAAGCATCAATCTGTATAGGACCCAAAGTTGTTCCAGGAACAGCGGATTGAATTGGTCTGTATCTCCTTGCAGCAGCAGCCACTGGATCCTTGTATGACATCATCTCTGGTTCATGTTCAATATCCAATACTTGAAAAAACATGAATATATACCAAATAAAGAAAAAGCAAACGGGACAGGTTAAGATGCTTAATAACTTACTTAACAGAGCATTGATGAATGCAGATTTTCCAACATTAGCTGAACCCTGGCAAAATCAATAAACTCAAGATTCAACCTGCCTACCCCCAGTGGAAAACCAAACCAAATGAAAATAGACTTAAGAGACAAAAGCTTGAACGTATAATCATCTCAATGGATGTCCATCAACTTTTGCCACTCAAAACACGTTCTAACCAGGACATAAACGTCTCTGCCCTGCATATAAAAAATACAATTCATTGAAATTTTAGGAATATAGAAAGCAAAAGATGGTAGTAAAAAAATGAAAGAAGGTAATAGTAATATAAGCCTTATACCAATGGGAAAGTAGATTGTAGTGAAGTCCATCCTACGTGGCGGAGAAAGATAGATAGAATGATTATTTTAATTTAATATAGAGAAAGTGATGTCTACGGAAAAATGAAAAAAATGAGAGAGAAATAAATTGTAGACAATGTCCACAGTCCACACATGGACTTTACACGGGATTCATGGATGAAAAGTGATTTAAGAAAATGAATAGGAGATATGTAGGTTCAGCACATAAAAATTGTGAGATAAAACATGGGACCCGCGTCACCGCGTGCAAGGGAATGTGAAAAGTAGACACCCCTCTTGGAGATGCTCCAAAAAATACAACACGTCCATAGCCCAAAAACATCACTGGAAATGCCAACCAAAACCAGCTATTTATAACCTAAACAATGAGGACTACTACATTAAGAACAGAAGTGTAGCAATGACGCAGGTACACTTGTACTGTGGGTGCGAACACAGAAAACATCAATTCTAAAAGATTAGTCCAATATTTTAGAGTTACTTTAAGAAGATCAGATTCTTCAACAAAAAGAACATGTGCCGTGTCTCTGAAGTATCCTCAAGCTTTCCCACCATAGTAACCTACGGCGAGAATGGCGCTCACGGTACTTCTTTGTTCCTGTCTTCCTGGCTTGTTGTTGGAATCATGCTTCCAACAAAACACCCTGCTAACGAGCATGTAGCGGCGCCATTTGTGTCCCATTGCTATGCCATATACACCACATGTGTATCAGAATCTCACAAGAAACTTTTTCTGGTAGTCACTAGTCAGGACCTTTTATAGGTAAATTTGTAGTTAAATGTTTATTATTTTGTCAGTAATAAGCACTTCAGGTCAGGCCAGATGTTAGGAGGAAACTTTTTCTGGTAGTCAGGACCTTTTATAGGCAAAGTTGTTGTTAATTGTTTATTATTTTGTCAGTAATAAGCACTTCAGGTCAAGCCGGATGTTAGGAGGATACAATATTCAAAACTACCCTAGATGACTTGAGGAAATATGCTTGATACTACATCTACTTCGAGGATTCAAACAATCCATGACATTATGAGAGAATCAAAATAGCATTAAGTTTACCTTCTTCTGTTTTTGGATTTCTGACACCACTCCGCATATGCCAACCAAAGACTTTGAACTTGTTAAATAAACACTCAGAACACTGCAAAAGGAACCATTTAGGTTGCATGTAAATATAATGTCCTACAAGTAAACAATTTATTACACTAAAGTACCAAAAAATATGTGCAATAACTCAATAAGTAATATCATAGTGTTCTTTCTTTTTTCTAGTAGAAGTACATTTAAGGAATCCACAAAGAGCTATTACTTCTACAGTAAATGGTTGTTTTGTGAAAATTGTAAATCCTCAAGCATGCCTGATAAACTATCAAAAGTAAATAGAAAAGATCGTAGTAGTGGTAGTGGTCGTTGTTGCGGTCGTGGTCGTAGTAGTAGTAGTAGTAGTAGTAGTAGTAGTAGTAGTAGTAGTAGTAGCAGTCATAGTAGTAGTAGTCGTTGTAATAGAAGTCCAAAGTAGTAGTAGTGACTGGCCTACTTCCAAAATAACTGTATTGCTTGTATCATAAACTTCAAAGAATAAAGAAGGTGTGTGGGACATATCTAGTGCTTACTTCAGCTTCTTTTTCGTTGTTGCCTCAACAACCCAATCACCAATACAATTAAGGTCTGTTTCTTTTGGAAGAAGATCCACCTTTATCAAACAAAGATCTGACTTGATTATATTAAAACAAGTACAAAAAGATACTTGTGCTTGAAGCAAGAGCAGTTGCAATAGCAGTACCATTTGTAGAATAGAACCTTTAATTCTTGCTTATTTTACCTTAGTCACAACTAATATGATTGGATTTGCCCCAGCAAGATCTCTGACATGGGCCAAGAAGCTTCCGTTGAAATCTACAACATCAACCTACATATATAGCAGCACAGTGTAAACAACTGCCATAGTAAACAAATAATTCACTCTTTAAATTCTAGTATAGTTGTTCACTAAGAATAAAAATAAAATATAAAAAAACACAATATAAGGCAGCAAAAAGGGCCCAGTAATGCAAAACTTACACCCTTAAGAGAGTAGCACATTCGCATTGGATAAGAATACGAACCAAAAATATCAGAATGCTACTATGTGCAGTTCTGTTTTGTGGAACTTAAGAGATTCAAATATGCCTTCATGATATTTTTGAATTCTTACATACTAGAACATTGTCTGGACATTCTTTTATTACCAACTTTGCCCTTGCTAACCATGTCAGAGTAATCAATGAAAACTCTGTCAATCCTGGCTGGAACTCTTATGTGTCATGACTGATTCTTATATAAAATAAACTACTCATATAATAGAATAAAGATTCTGGCTAATTACAGTTTCATGTGGCATTACCAATTTCACAATCAAAGCTTTCTCATGCCGCAAATGAGATAACTTTTCCCTAAGCTCTTCTGCTGAAACAAACTGCTTCCCAGCAGAATAACCTCCATTTCCACCAACAGCAGTAATAATGTGTCCATGAGATAATAGGTGGCACCTTCCGCAGAGGACAGTTCTAAGTTGACGATGTTTCTTCTTCTGTAAACCCCAAAATGGTCATCAATCGGAATGCCAAATTATTAGACTATGAATAGTCAATATTCATTAACATCAAGCCATACATGAAATTTGTGTCAGTGTGATTAAAATGAAAAACCTTAAACATAAAACTTATCCGGTCTTGTACACTACACTTTTTTATCTTTCAAGTACTAATGACTCAGTGGGCTTAATTGAAACATACTCAACATACACAAACCAACAAAATCCAACATTTTGAAATCACATAATAAAGCTCCAAGATTTCTGGTACTCTGCTTCAAGAAATAGTTTATCAGCTCATCTTAGAATACTGACAAAACTGACATCAACCCAATCATATGGAGTAGTACCCATAAAGTTCATCTTAGACTACTGACCGCACTGACATCACCACAATCATATGAGTAGCACGCATACTTCCAGCTAGGGCGGTAGTAAAAAAACTCCCAACAGATTGCATACCAAGTCATAAGTTTCCTTGTCAACGTATCCAGGAACATCGATTTCGGACGTTTGTAATGGAGCTCCGCACCCATAACAGCTCGGAGCCAAACTCGAGAATTTCATGACATTTTCGTGCTTCTGCTTTTTTTTCTTAGGCGCGGCTTTCACAGTTGCCGCGGAATGCTGGCGACGGATGAACTTGTCTCCTCTTGTCGAAGCCGCAGCTCCGGATCCCTCGGGTTCGGTCCATGAGTTTGTGCAAGTGATGGCATCTGGTTTGCAGAATCGAACACTAAATACATGTGGTTTTCGGCTAGGTATAGGAAAGGGGGCCAGGTAAGAGGAGGAAGAAAATGAGAAGGGGTTCGGCGCCATTTGATAGTGGATAGCGTATTGACTGTATCGAGAGCAATTGAAAACGGAAGGTTACAGTTTTTTTTGGGCAAACTGCCATTCAAATGAAAGTTTTGCTAGGAGTACCTCAAAATGTACCAATTTTTACCCTAACCCATAATGTGTGGTCATAAATGGGCCAATTCATTTAAGTAGTGCCCCACTTAAATGAATTGCCCCATTTATGGCCACACATTAGGGGGTGAGGTAAAAATGGGGTACATTTTGGGTACCTTTAGCATTTGTGTCAAATGAATTGTTTAAGAAGTTATTACCGGGACTAAACAATAAGAAAATTTTAAAATAGGATGTTATAAATTTATGAGATATATTATCCGAAATAGGACTAAAACAGTTTGAAAATTCTAAAATATGACTGCCATGTTTTTATTCTCAAAAGAGGACTAATTATTGTCATGTTTTGGCAGTACGAGACTTCAAACATGGCAGTATTTTTTAAACATGACAATAATCAGTCCTATTTTGGAAATAAAAAACATGACGGTCCTATTTTGGAATTTTGAAAGTGTTTTAGTCCTATTTCGGGGACTTTCTCGACTATTCGATTAATTTTATCACTTATAATTGAAGTACGTTCTTTCTCTCGCAGACCCACATCCCTCTGCTCTTCATCTTCTCTTCCCTTCTCCCCTCTCCCCTCTCTCATCTCTAACATGTTTGGATTTAAGGGAATTTCCTCCAACGTTACATCAATTCTCCGTCTCCGGTGGGTTATCAAGCTTGGATTGTGAATTTTCTTCTCATCACCGGCGACCGCTGGTGGCCGGCAGAATATTCTTGGTATGCCTTGATATTCTTCTTCTTTCTTTCTTCTTCTTCATCTTCTTCATCGCCGAGTAATCTGGAGCAACTCTTGTATTAGACTTTTTCTTGCTTTCTTCTCTTTATTTCTCAGTTTTTCTTTAGTTTTTGTTCTTTTGACTTAATTATTTTATTTACTAAAATATACGGAGTAGATTATAATTTTTACACTGATTTAATTGAATATTTTTGTAATTTTTATGGTATTAAAATGTAAATATTACCTCTTTACAAATACTAATAATTCCATATTTTTTCATGTAACATTATTATTTGACATTTAGTGTCATTTTTATGACATTAACAAGCATCAAGATGGCAAATACAATATCCATAATGCCATGTTTTTTTAAATAAAAAAATGTTATTTTCCGGTTTCCGCACATATTGTCATCTCTATGGCACTAATTCCATTATGATGGAAATATTATTCCTTGTGTAAATACAACATTTGTAATGACATGTGAAGATGGCAATAAGATTCGTAGTCTGTATTTTAAGATGACATTCATATGGTCAAATAACATTTTAAAACATTTTTTCCATATTTGAGATGGACTGTGGTGAAAGCAAAAGTGGTGGTAATGCCGGAAGAGGTAGGAGTAGCTCCAGACTACACGGCGAAGGCGGCAGAGGCAACGATGGTGACGAAGGCGTCGCTGGATGAGGCTGGTGTGATGGAGATGGTGAAAACAGTGATGACATCTTGGTGTGGCGGCGGCGGTCCTAGCGGTGGTAGAGATTAACGGGGGGATTGACGGTGGCGGCTTTTCTAGGCGGTGGCTGGTGTCAATGTCCCCTTCTGCCCATTATTGCAGAGAAGTGTTATACATGTGGCGGTGGTGATATAAGAGTAAATCAACCATTATTGCAGACAACTGTTATTTATAACGTAGTATTATTCTATTTTATATTTTTAAGAGCTAGATCAATTAGAGATTTCATTAAGGGCATTATGTGTCAACTCATGTATTTTTTCTCCTACTAAACTATACGAAAGTTTGAACTCCTAATATTGCACTTTTATTATGTTTTACTCAGGCCCGTGGTGCGTTTGAGGCCGGTGAGACCTCTACCTCAGGCCCCCAAAAAAACTACAACCCCATTTTAGTAGTCTCTTTGTATTATTATTATTAGGGTCAATTTGTTTTTTAAAATATCTCAAATCTCAAATCAATTATAAGGAGATTGAAAAGTCAATCCTTATCAAGTCACAAAAGACATAACGGATCTATCCCATTTTTCAAGACAACCTAATTTTAATAAATACGTAGTATATACCAATTATTATTTACTTAAAGCATTTCTAGTTATTTTTACCTCTCAATTCTTTCCCTACATAGGAGAATACGACCACACTTCTCCGGACCCCAGCCAACTTTGAGTGCTTGCCGTCGGGTGCTACTAAGCTTCTTTCCGGAAATTGCTCCAGACCCATTTTTTTTTACCTCATTTGTCTATTTCTTTCATACATCAAAGTTCTGATCAGGTTCTATCAATACAGTCTGTATTTTTAATTTCCTAATCCAGTAATAATTTGTTTATTTTTTGTTTTTTAACTCCTTGATTTAATATATTGTTTACATTATCAAATTTTGTTCAATTAAACTATTATCTTGTCCAATCGGAAATATGAAAGTGGGTATCAAAAATTATAAAAAAAAAAGAAATTCAAACCCTAATTAAATCCCAATAAGGGGCACTGGATAAGTTTTTCATTGGTAATAAGCAAATTGGTGCATCCACCTCGCTTGAAAATAGCACAGAAATTGAGGGAGAACAAGATACACAAGTTAATTATATTCATATTACCAATGAGGTGAGAGAAGTAGATGACTTTAATTTCCCTCCTAGTGAAGAACACGAACAAAATGTACAAGATACATCTAATTTCACATCCATAAATATAGTTGACCCAGGGAATTGGAAAAACATTGATATAAAATTTAGTGATTTAATGGTAGAAAAAGGTCCAATTAGATACAATAAGTTAAATTTCCCTTAAGATGAAAATAATAGACACTTCTCTACATCATTTTATATACAAGTATTATCAAATGGTGAAAAACATGAGCGGAAATGACTAGTATATTCAAAAGATTTAGATAGAGTGTATTGTTTTTGTTGTAAATTGTTTACCACACAATCTAATAATAATATAAGTCAATTAGTACACGAAGGAAGTAAAGATTGGAAAATTTTGGGCCGCCAAATTAAGAAACATGAAACAAGTCATGATCATATAATCAATATGAGTAATTGGATTGATTTAGAAACAAGATTACGGGAGAATAAATAATTGATAGACTTGCTCAAGACCAAATTAACAAAGGAAAAGATCACTGGAAAAAAGTATTACTAAGAATAATTGGAGTTGTAAAATATCTTGCAAAAAATAATCTTGCTTTTAGAGGCACCAATGGAAAAATATATGAAGAAAATAATGATAATTTCTTAGGCTTAATTGAAATGATAACGGAATTTAATCCGATAATGAAAGAACATGTTAGACGTATTCAAGATGGTAAACTTCAATCTCATTACTTAAGTAATACTATACAAAATGAGTTGAAAGAACTATTAGCTTCCCATGTTAGAGATTTGATAATTAAAAAAATTAAAGAAGTTGAGTATTATTCTGTTATTCTTGATTGCACCCCCGATGCAAGCCACCATTAACAAATGACACTTATACTAAGATGTGTAGATATTTTTTCTTATCCAATTAAAATTGAAGAATACTTTATAGAGTTCTTAAAAATAGATGATACTTCCGGAAAAGGGATTTTTTATGAACTTGTGAATATAACAAAAAATATGAGCTCCATATTGATGATATAAGAGGGCAATGTCATGATAATGGATCAAATATGAAAGGAAAATACCAAGGAGTGGAAAAAAGACTATTAGATGTATAATTCTAGAGCAGTTACACTTCATATATGTGGTTGTCATAACTAATTAAATCTAGTTTTATGTGATATGACTAATTCGTGTCATAGAGCTATTTCATTTTTATGTGTATTGCAACTCTTATATTCTTTATTTTCCTCATCTCCTAAAAGATGAAAAATTTTACAAGACAATGGATGCAAAATTTCAGCCAAATCCTTTTCTCAAACAAGATGGGAAACTAGGATTGAATGTGTAAAGGCAATAAAATTCCACACTCAAAAAATAAAAGATGCTTTAATTCAATTAGCTTGTACTAGTGAAGACCTAAAAATAAAAAGTGAAGCTATGTGTTTGGTACAATATGAATTTGAAAATTTTGAATTCTTACTAGGAATGAATATTTTGTATGATATATTATTTGCCGTGAATTTTGTAAGTAAAACTTTACAATCTAAAGCCATGCATATTATATTGATGTTGCTGTAACACAATTAAAAGGACTTACTAATTACTTAAAAAATTATAGGAAGAAAGGCTTTGAGTCCACTTTAACTTCAACTAAAGAAATTGCACTTGAAATGGGTGTAGAACCTATATTTCGTGAAAGGCGTAATGATAACAACAACACTCATACAGCTCAAGCATCTTTTGAGATTGAATACTTCAATTATATAATGGGCCATTCTATTACATCCATTGAAAGTAGATTTGAATAATTTGTGTTTTATGAACGAATTTTTGGATTTTTTATTTGACATAAATAAATTAAAAACTTTAGAAAAGAATGAATTATAAAAATCATGTCTTAATCTTGAAAGTTTTTTAAAATTTAATGAACACTCATATATTGATGGATTTGATTTATTTTCAGAGTTAAAAAAATTAAAAGAAACTCAAAAACACTCCACTCGAGGTGCTAAGTTACATCAAGAGATTAGATTCTGAAATTTTTAAAATTAAAATTATTGAATCTTATTTAACATCAACTATGTCGCAAGATCGATTAAACGGATTAAGCATATTATCTATAGAAAATAATATGCTAGAACATTTAGAACTTAAATCGTTAATAAGCGAAATTGCAACTGAAAAAGCAAGAAAAATAAATAAATTTCTTTGACATTTGAAATCCCCTCCCCCCCCCCAAATAGCTCTCATTTAACTTTTTTCCTCAGGCCTACTTATCTGTAGACACGACCCTGTCTATTTCTCACATTGGTGATTCTGCTGTCATTTCTGATCTTAAGCTATCAAATGTTCTTGTTGTACATGACATTTCCAAGAATCTTCTTTCTAT